CACTCTAGCGGCAAGGGAAAGCATTTTGGAAAAAAATGTCAAGAGACAAAAATGTTCAGGACACATTTCTCTATCTGCTCTGATAATTTGAGAAAAATCTGTGACAGTGCATTGAGCAACTTCGTTCATCTCTATCGTGCACTGCCTCCTAAAGCGGCGAATGTAGCTATTCTAAATAAACATATAACGATTACAGCGCGCGACACATCTTGGTTCACAGAAGAATTACAAAATATGCGTAGACAGAGGAATAGGTATTTTACTCAATATAAAAAAAACAGATCATCGCCAAAAAGTTAAATACGACATCTGCACGTCTTTTTGAACGAAGTTGTGATCTTGCTATGAAAAATTTTTATAATCGAATTAACCAGCAACAAGCAAATTCTTCTTCTTCCCGGTATAAACTACTTAATCACGCACTCTGTAGAAGCAAACAAAGCGAAATCTGTGTGATGAAAAATGCTACAGGAGAAATGATTTACGACGACTTTTCTAAAGCTAAAATCTTTAATGAATACTTTGCATCTGTCTGTACTATGAGTGATAAAGACTCGTGCAGGTTTATGCCTTCCGACACCCTTCCTCTTTCCTCTTCTAAATTTGATATTACAGAAAAAATTTATCCAGGTGAGGTTGAAAGAATACTACGAAAATTAAATGTAAGCAAGGCTAGTAGTTAAGTTACTGGCAGAAGGGTTAAAGAATCTAGTGATGTGATAAATGAGGCGTTAGCAGATATTTGTAATCAATCAATCAGTGAAGGAGAGTTCCATCTTCATTTAAAATAGGATGTATTACTCCACTTTTCAAAGACGGCAAACACTGGCAGCCGAATAATCATAGACCTGTTGCTTTACAGCATGTATTTTCAAAACCTTTGGACAGTGTAGTATATTCCCGTCTTTATAATTACGTAACTAAAAATAATCAGTTACCGTCGTTACAATCTGGTTTTCGCCATCTTGATTCTATAGTTAATCAGTTAATTGATTTCGTTTATGCTGTGGAGTTAGGAATGGAAAACCACAAACTAACTAAATCAGTTTTTCTTGACTTTAAAAAAGCTTTTGATTCGGTTTGGCATGCTGGCTTACTCTACAAGCTAAAACAAAAAAGTGTAGCATCTAATATGTTAAAATAGTTTTCTTCATATCTTTCTGATAGGTTTATAGAAACACGAGTAAACGGTACTGCTTCCCCTAGGAAAAAAATTAATTGTGGAGTCCCACAAAAATCTATTTTAGGATCCCTGTTATTTCTCAATTTTATATTTAATGTATCAATTTAAGAACAAATTTCAAATTACTGTTTTAAATCAAATTTATAAGTGTTATGCGTATCCTATATTACTTTACGCTTCAATTCTTTATTCACCTGCTACTGTTAAAAATCTCTCTTTAATATTCAGTATACAATACAAGTTTGCTTTAGTTGTAACTGGTTGCTTATATTTAACGTGTAGGAGTAAAGTACTCCAGATTTTAGGATGGCAAGACATACTTGAAATTTTTGATCAATAGAATGTTTAAGATAGTGAGAGGACTAGCACCTAGTTTTTTAGCAAACAAAATTTCTCATTTACATCATAATCATAATTATCAAACTAGAACACAAGTAGAACTGAAAATGCAGGGTAATTGGGAAACTGATAGGGATTTTATGAGTAAAACATTTGAAATGTCGTTTTTTCCTAATGCAATTAGAAAATGGAACGAATTAAACTATGAATTGCGTGCATGTAACACTTTAAGAGCCTTCAAAAGAAAGCTTAATACACAAAGAGACATACTAAGGATCTTTCGAGTTTACGATGTTAAACGTGAATAGATAAACTATACTATCAAATGTATGATGCAACTTCTCGTAATTATAATACAGATATTTCCATGAGCCCTTTGTTTCGCAAATATTTACATTTCTTCCACAACCAGGAAGTGGTTTCGTAATGTTCTTATATCCTTCATTCATATCCGAATATTGAGCACGTAATGTACACTATAAACAAAGTCCGACTTATAGTAAGACCTTAAGGCGGATCCCATTTAGCCCTATAAATGGCTCTATTTTGAAGACATCTGATGTGACTTACGCAGGAAGACGTATTGTACTGTCTTTTTAGAGAACACATCATAGACACTAGAAAGGAACTTTCGAGGCATAGCAGACGCTTATTATGTGAAGGACACTTCGATAAAGTCGCGTGTTTTTTTTATCTTGACCATACTCTACGCAATAACCTTGAATATTCTTGCGCAATAACCTTGACCATAGTCTTACACCATAAGCTTGAATATGTTCTTGTGCAATAACATTGACTATGACCTTCTCTCTTATGCATGCACGACTCTAGTGCGTGACATAATAACTCGTCAGATTCATCTTAGCCGAAAACTTCTGGAAAACCTCACTAGCTTCATGAAAACATAACCTTTTGATACTTTCTGTTACACAACAGATCGCTCAAAGTGTCTTCAACAAACCATATTTCTCGGTGCTCTGAAAGAGGTAGAACATTTGCAGAGAAAAGTAGAAAAAGAAACAGCCTCAGCATTTTTTGACTTTTCTTAGACAATTTAAATTTCTTTTTTTTTCTTGATTTCCAGTTTTACAGAGCATATAGAAAGCGCTACAAAGTGACATATTTTGATCCTTAAATCTTGGGACTGTTTCTTCCTCTAAGGCGCCGCTAATTCGAAGTCCCTACAAGGTCTTATTTTTGCCATTTGCATAGACCGTTTGACAGAGCTTGACGAGCTGATCAAGAATATCTACATATTCGGATATAATGTTTTTATTGCATAAAAAGTGAGTTGTCGTGGAGAAAATAGATAATTAAGGACAGAATTCCGACTTTTCGGTCTTGATTCAGAAAAAATGTACTGTCTCTGGAACGAAACAGTCTGCGTGTTAGCACTGCAATATATCCTGGCACCATTTTTATCCAACGATGTTGACATGAAAGCATTCACTACAATCAATGCGCCAATGTTCGCTTTCATATTTCTGAAGTCCGCCCATGGCATGCATAACCATAGGCATTTTTTTATTTTTAACATTTTTTATTACGAAAAACTCCTCGAATTTTGTCACAGTCTGGTACCCAAGTGTCGATTCAAGTTTTGTCTTCTCCAAACAACACATAAACGGAGATAAGATGTTCTTGTTTATGGACAACCGGCACGATCACTGACGCTAATTCACTTGGTACAATAAACATCATTTCATTTGTTGTATTCTCTTGAATAAAATCTACGCCTTGATCAACGTCATGCAACACATGTGACTTATCAACGATGGAATACAATCGTCCTTGGATTTCGCCATAGTCCACCCCTTCTTGCCTATCTGAATGAAGCCAGACGATACAGGTATATACTTCGACTGAAATCAAATAGGAATGAAAAACATCGTACATGTTTGCCGTAAAATCGATTGTTGTTGAAACGATTGTCAATCCTTCGTCAGTTTTAGCATGTTCAATTCGCATATCACCGATGCGATGGAATAAATAGAATTCAACTGTTTTAACGACTGATGTAGCCATGAACAAATCAGTTATGTCATCTGTTGATAGTTCGCGGCTTAAAAAGCTAATACATGAGAATATCCCAGCAAATCATCATAAAAGAACTTGTTAACTAGTTATGAAGATATTAATGATGTATCTTGCTGAGAACTTTCTTCTGCCATAGAGTATGAATAAATTAAGGATACAATTTACATGTTATTGTTTTCCACACTCTAAACCCAAAACAAATCGAGTCAAAATGAAGTACTTGCTACCCGTCAACCGACGTTTGAGCGACCGACATTTGAGCGACTCCGACATTAGACACTTTTCAATATGACTTTTTGCCGATCAGGAAAGTCGAATGATTATTCACTTCGATAACGATGATCAGAACAATTTTTTTGTCGTCCGATTATGAACTGAATTGTTTGGAGATCTGTAGAGGGTGAGGCTGTGTAGGGTAAGGGTGGGTGAGGGTGAGGATGAGTAGCTAAAAGTGATGCGCTTCGCTCAATTGTTGGAGTCCTTCAGATGCGGTCGCTCAAGTGTGGATCGCTCAAAAGTTGGTCGCTCAAATGAGGGTGAGGGGAAGCACTTGGTGCTGAACTGTCGTTATTACTCAAACATCGGTCGCTCAAGTGTCGATCGCTCAAATGTCGGGGTCGCTCATTTGTCGGTCACTCAAGTGTCGGTCGCTCAAATGTCGGGTCGGTCAAGTGTCGGCGCTCAAATGTCGGGTCGGTCAAGTGTCGGCGCTCAAATGTCGGCGCTCAAATGCCGGTCGCTCAAATGTCGGTTAATCCTTGCTACCTTATTTCTCTTTAATATCCTATAATCGTTGTTTGGATTATCCTCATGCTAGGTTAAATTTAGTAAGGATGAAAGCACAGAAGAAGGGTTAGCGACTGTCATTCCTTGGTCACCTGCCGAATCGGGCAATACTGCTCGAACTTTTCAAGCAACTTGTATAAAAAGTATTTAGACTAGAACCATCATTCTCTATAGGCATGCAACGGTTATGGTTAACCGTAACCGTACATAACCACTTTATAACAGCTTAGTGTATTTGGTGTTCATTGATATTTGTTTACATTAGAAGCAGACAAGGATGGTCTTTGCCCTGATGTTTTAGTGCATCTGGTGTAGTGACAGTCTACACTATGCCGCACAAAAACGGCTGTTAAGTGGCGGCATCGGCGAATATCTCATCAACCACTAGTTGTCAGAGTAATTTGACTTTTTTAAACAAAATCTTTGACCTTTTCAGCATGAATCTCAGCATTTCATTCATTGAATTTGAGTACCACACAGGTTTGCAGTGCATCCGTGTCACTATAGTAGAAACACTAAAATGTCAGGGCAAAGACCACCCTTGTCTACTTCTGATGTAAACAAATATCAATGAACACCAAATATACACTAACCTGTTATAAAGGGGTTATGTGCGGTTACCTTTAACCGTTCGACTGGTTATTTACGGTTACGATTATGACCGGTTGCATGCCTACATAAAAGTGATGACTTGTATTTATTTTCTTCGATATTTGATGCGAATAACAAGTACATTAAAAGGAAGTGATACTGCTTAAAAGTGACATAGGAATATTCTTAGACAAAGAAGAGAAATATACTGTGAGACGGAACTGAATAGGCTCATGGATATGGTCGAACAGTGGGACTAAAAACCACTCTATTACCTATAAAAAAGAACTGTAAAAGTTACAAAGTGCAACGGTTCAAATACACGTTTCAAAGCCGATAAGGAGGAAAGTAAGCAACCAGTAAACCCTCTAAATTTCTTTTTTACAAACTTTTACCTTTGTGAAATAGTTTTATTTATACCTTATCGCTTTTTTCAATTTTACATCAACGTACTATAAATAACGTCTTGGTTTTTACCCTATCTGTTCTTCTAACATGGCCAGTCTTTTTACGAAACATATATAGGTAACATATATAGGTGAGATATACAGAGTGACAAAAAATACCTTAGATAAAGATCTTTTTTGATAAAACTATAGTTAACAAATAAGACCTTACTTTGAAAATGCACTCCCGAAAAACTTCTGTTTTTCTAGCAAAGAAAAATATTTACTGTCGCCAGACTGTAGTTTCAGTGCTTTTCCAACAACAACAACTTTTTTTTCATATATCGGAATAAGATCGCTGAGACGAAACGGGAGAAGTAAAAATACGAGCCGGCGAATTGACGTTGTTGTGAGCTCTTATAGAAATGATTCCCTTCTACTTCTGTTGTTTTCTAAACCTTAGAAATCATAGGTATCGCTGTGAATCATCAGTATAAATACAGATACCGATGTATATATATATGGTTATTTACCTGTTATGAGAAAAGAAAATATAAAGTAGTTGGAGAAATCCTATTTGTTTATTTTCACTTGGAAAAAAAATACTATTTGCAACAATGAAATGACTCTCATACTTGGTAGGAGAATAGGCATGATACATGAGAAAGTTTTCCTAGGCTAACTCCTCGCCATTCGATTCAAACTTAATGACATCTCGTAGAGTTTTGAACAAAGCTCTTTCTTTTGGCTCATTTAGATCTTTTATAAAATCGCTCGAAGTAGGATTTCCAGAAAATCGTGGTTTTTGGCATGCCAGACGGAGAAATTCTTTTTAGAAAAACTGTCAAATGATGGAATATTTCAAATAATTTGGCTGGATTCTGTAGAGCTAGACTATAATTTGAAAAAAAATTTAAGTCTCCAGCTAAAAATTTTTAATTTTAGTTTTTTAAAACTTTAAATATTTCATAATTGGTTTACATTGTTTTGTTTATACTTTTGTTCAATTTTGAATTCTCTATTGAATGGCGTTTGTCTGAGATCTCCATTACCTACCTGAATTGAGATATTTGAGTTTTAAAAAAAGTTCAAAATTAAAATTTCAAATTTCAACTTTACGCTAGAGACTTGATTTTTTTTCAAAATTTAGCCTACCGTACCCAGCGTACGGCGGCTGTCTCAAAAACTTTTTAAAACCCCGGGGTTTTTATAAAAAGATGTTATTCGGTCTGCTATGTCAACAACTACGGTTTTCTGGAATCCCTACTTCAGGCGATTTTGAAAAAAATCTATATGGGCCAAAAGAAAGAGTTTACTTCAAAACCCTTATGGACCAGACGTCATTAAATTTGGGCCTATATTTTTTGAATTGATAATGTCATGTAACACGCCTACAGGCAGAGACATTTATATATATATATAGTTCTTTCTTTTTCTTTTTTCCGTTCATTTTGAGGGAAAATAATTGTATTTGACCTGATATTAACGTCTTTTACATAAGAGATTATTGTATATTTTTTTCAGATATTTATGAGTTTTTAAAGTATATTTTTAGGTTTAGAGCGTATTGACCTGTGTCAGCCGATTATAAAAAATGGCAGCACAAGAAGGTGATATTGATTTTTATGCACTATACGATTCCGGTATTGATGATGATTTTAAAATGCAAATGTTACTAACATCTCAGAAAAAATGTGATTTTGATTGTATTAGAAATATTCGATTGGGCTTACACGAGGATCGTTTATTCGTATCAAAAATTTATCATTATAAATTGAAATATGATATGAATATGAAACAAGATTTTGGTACATCATGTCCACAATATTATATACGTGTATCACAACAAAAAACAATTCAACCCACGTGTCATTTTGAAGATAAAACCATGCGATCGTTCAATTTCCAAACACCTTCTCATTTTATATTTTCATTACAATTTGAAAAACCTGGTGGTCTAACGTGGAGTCACTTGTCTACATGTCCCGGTGAAAGTATTTCAATATGGCATCAATTGTGGCAGTTTACATATTTTCTTATAATGGCAAACAAATTACATACATTCGAATCGTTTGTTATGCAATTTTTAGTTGCATTACGACAACATGGAGACGAAAAACTTGACTATAATGATTTACAAACAATATTTAAATATTGCTACACATATATCGGTATCATTCAAAATGAAAAGGCCAATAATTCAGACGCAATCAGTGCACTCATCTATATGTTTGGATTAATGAAAATAAATACATCAAATATTGTACCCGTATGTTTGGAAGCACAAAGTTTGATTACTATTGTATTACGATCATTTCTCACACATATCAATAGTGTACTTGATCGACATCGAGATCCACATTATATAGACTCCGGTTTAGTGAATCTATTGTTTATCGAAATATTGTCGAATAATACCAGCAATGCCGATAGTGATACTGTATTTATATTACGCCGACTGTCGATTTGTCAACGCAATGTTGTCAATCAATTAATTTCAAAATTATTCAAATATAAACCGTTGATCAAACGTGAAAATTGGTTGGATCTATTTACGCTAACACAAAATCAAACAATTCCCGTTGAATGTCTAACGTTGATTGCAACATTCAAAGATTATATGACATTTGCTACGTCGATGGTATCACAGAAACAAGAACATGAATCGGAAGACGATTTAAAAAAGAAATTATTATTGGAATTCAATGATCTATTACGAAAACATCAATTTGAAATCAACTGTCAAAGTATTATTTATATATTAAAAACATTACACAGCTACGTCGACAATTCACTGTATACACGCATGAGTCATTATATATTTGAAAATAGTGAAGAATTACGAACACAAATACAAAATTACCTTGTCTCATCTGCATCCATCAATTTTCATTTGGATGAAATCAGGGATCTATTTCGATATAATAATCTGTTTATCTTGCAAAACATCGATGATAAAACAACGTTTCTGCTCAAACATTTGAATAGATCATCACTAGCTGGCTCTACTACTCGATCAATTGATTTTTATATCAAATGGTTTGAAAACTTCATTTGTGATTCACATTACACGCAAACCAAACCTGAATATGATGATTTTCAACGTCTGTTCGACGGCTGGCTACAACATATTAAACAAAATCCATCATCCTTGTTCGACAGTATTCTTCAATCCATTGATCAATTATTGAGTAAACTGCCACAATCGTCAATATCCGATGAACGAATGAAATATATTGTACGATCAATATTGAAGTACTGTTTTGAATCGAGAACAATGGAAAGATACACAATGAATATCATATGTATCGATGTCAAAAATAATTATTTCCTAAATGAATACAAAGCAATGTATACGACAGATGTTATTGAGCCGAACCGAGATAAATTGAAGCGAATGAGTAGTGATAATCCACTGTATGGACTCGTACAAGAATATAAAATAAAACCAAGTGATCTGTTGAAACAACTGATTGAACTGTGTACGACAAAGATCACAATCGACAGAAATTATGCTATCAACGATGTACTCAAGGGTGATCGTCAATCATTTATTTCAACAATTCTGTCGGCACCTTGTTTCAAAGGTACGCAAATTCATCAAACTGTCATCTATCTACTGCTCGAAATCCTTACGTCATGGTCACGGGATGGTATGAAATACGATGATTTACAAAGAGTGTTACGTTACAATAACAATCAAAAGATGAATTTCGGTAAAGTTTGGGATTATGTGAATACGTACGCCACAGAGAAGACGAATATTTATCAGTTGATCGAAAGTACAACAATAGATATGAATACTAAAATGAAAATAATCAATGTAATTGATACATGCCTCAAGCAGTATTGTGTCAATTCAAATGATATAGACACATACGAATCAGCCTTGAACGATGTAACCACACAACTGAATGTTCAATCGATTCGATCCGTGAAAATACCCGATGGTCTAATGCAAATGCTGCTGTTTGCTAATGAACTCAATCCATATGGGAAATCCACAACGTGGCAACAATATCAACACGAAAACTCCATAGTTCAGACAACCTGTCTGAATCATTTGACAGAAACAAGCAAGCTGTTTAAAAAATTCCAGCATGAACTTGATGTGTCATTCCAATGGGAAACAAGTACATTGGAACAAATAGTTCGTCGATTTAAAACCATCGGCTTCGCAGTCGATCTCGAACTGGATCGATTGAAAAAGATCATGCCTTCGCTGGACGAACTCAGACCTCTATTACACTATTGGAAATCTCGAGATTACATCACTAAAGTGTGCCACGGTTGTTTGCAAATAATTTCTCTCTATAAACTATCCAACGATGATCATTATTCCATTATATCTAACAATATTTTGTCATTAACTATACAAACCAATGGTGACGCATGTTATCAATATTATCGAGATTATTGTAATGAGTTTTCATCTAAGCACGAAAAACTCATTCTCAATTTATGTGCACAGTATTATTCGGCTTATGAATTGATCAGTTTTCTATCCGATCGAACAGAAAATGATATGAACAATCTACACGAGGGTGCCAATGATAACGACGATACAATGATTACAACAGAAAATGTTAGTGATTTTGAACTTATACATCTATTTCTTCATCGCCTGAAGCAATCGAATATTCACACATTCGATGATTTTATTCAAATTGCTCAAACATTGCTTAGCACTAATAACACCATTATACAGAAACTGGAAACATGTACATCGCTGCTTGCTGGTCTTCAGCAATTGTTTCTAGAACTGACAGACAAACAAGAGTCGAAGCGTCGAAAAATCTTCCTTATTGTTACTAAGTCATTTATTCAATTTAAGAAAATGTCACCGAAGAATATTGATGTTTGTATCAACACAACTTCGCAATTATTGTCGTCGAACGATAACAGTTTAAATTATCTGGAAATATGTGAATTGCGTGATCGTGCACGACTGATCGAACATTCAAATAATCATCAAGTGAAACGAACTACGAAAATGGATAAAGAGTTAGAAAAAAAAATGCTACCTAATTTTGTACAATTTGTGAATGTGATTGAAGAACAGTTGAAACAACTGAATGAATTGGCTTCTATGGGATATCCAACGATAGAACAACTATGCAACAGAACATTTGAATGTACCGAATGCCTGTATGTTGAACTCGAATTTTTTTCTACGGAAATACACGAAACTCTTAGAAGATGGAAACGAAAGGTATACGAAGCATATAGAAAATATCCAAATTTAACTAATTTTTTTGGAACACAATTTTGGATACTGGAAGAATATTTATCACAAATCCGTACATTAGATGAAAAACATCCCGGTTATCATCTATTACAATACCTTGGTATTCCAAAGTAAGTTGTTCAATTCTAACTTTTGAGTAAAAGGTTTCTTCGACTATATATGTTTTGACAAACTGCATGTACTTTCTAGCTTAATTCACCATGCAGTTCAAATGTATTCACAGGACCTGGATGCTGAAGAGCGTTTGGAAAATTTGGGTAAGATAATTGCTGATGAACAAGCCGAACTACAACCACGACAGATGAGCAATACTGCTGTGACAAATAAAAATATTGTCGTTGTTGAAACATCAAATCAAGGTCTCTATCGTGGCGTCATCTCGTTGTTTCGTGACAACATTGACACATTGAAAATGAATCAGTTACTGTTTTGTACCATGGATACAAGCTGGATTGAAATTCAATCGTTCATCTATCGTTGCATGTATTCTACACACCATTTACTCTATCAAATCATTCAACCAGAATTATTATCATTTCACATTCAAGATCAAGTGTGCCGATTGATTAAAGAATTGATGGAAGAAGATAATGGTAGTAAACAGTTTTACTTAGCACTCATCACAACCGATATTCGTATCCATTTGGTAAACGGTTTGATTCATACAGATACAGCGAAATTTGTACACGATACTGAACTCGTTGACGAATATCAATTAACGGAACTGATTCAACGAAAAGTAAAACATTGCCATGTGTATTCGTCGAAAATAACCGGACAAGGTAAAACGACATCAATAAAAAATTTTATTAGACAATCGAATAAGGGTTATGTCAGCTTCCCTTTGTCAGGTGATTTAAATTTGGATCAGATTGCTAGACGTTTACTTGATCACGGATCTATATTGAAAACTTCCGCCATTCATTTCGATATTGGCATTGTCAATGATATTAATCTATTGAACAAAATTCTATTCTCATTGTGTTTTCTTCGTAGTTATTGTTTTTCGAACACATACGTTCACATACCCGATGAGACTATATTCTGTTTCGAATTAGATTCATTCTATTTTGATAATGAGCAACATGAAATCATTCTATTTCGATATATGAAACATACAAATATTGCGAAACTGAATTGGAATGATATGATTTTAAATCAAAAACTGAAATTTGTCGTCAAATATCTACGTGCAGTTGAAAACAACACCATTCAACATGATGATATAACATTTGGAGATACGCATAGAATCGATCTAGACACTTGTATACAATTGTTGAAAATCTTTTTTCTCGAAGGTAAAAATCAAAATTATCTCACATGGACACACTTGCATATATTCATATCCGTATTTTATACATTGTTCAATGGATTCTCAAAATGTGGATATTTTCTTGTCGAGGAAATACCGAATCCACAACTGCGTACGGATATTGTTATGGCACTAATTCAATCGGGGAATCAGTTTACGACCATGTCCGTTGAAACTGTTCGCAAAAGACAACAAAATCCATCTTTACAATATTCAAGTGAAATGTTGACAGACACGGTTCTTCGCTGGTCGGAAACACAACCATTTACATTAGTATTCACCGATACATACGATCCGATTTTCGTTTATAAAACATTGAACGCTGTACCGTACGCATTACGACAGTATTTTGATGCCTATCGACAATTATCTAGGAATCAAACGACTGTTGATGAAAACGTTCGATACAATGTACTTATCGATTACAATAACGCCACTCATACACAATTCTTTACGAAACTAGCGTCATTGTCGAAAAAATTCCTAAACAAATCCATTTGCACAAAATGTTTTAAACAATATGCGTATGAAACTGAATTGTGCACCAATTGTTGTCCTCAACAAGTTTTACTCCGTCCGGCGAAAAGTTTAAGTACAGCAGATGTCACTTATTTTCAATTTCAAATAGCACAACTGCTCGAATTAGAATATGTGATTACCGCTGATAATTTCATCAAAATGTTATTGATTTATTTAAGGGCACAAAGTGGCCTTCCTGTACTAATTATGGGCGAAACAGGTATATCGTAACGAATGCCTTGTCTCCTTTTTAGCGTCCAGTTTCTAGTTTTCGTCAAACAATCAGATTTCTCATGATACTTATTTCACACCGTTTCACAGTAACGTTTGCGGATCGGTAAAAACCTATTGAACCCTTTAAAGGCTGTGTATACTGCACCAAATCTACAAAAGGTGACAACACCGGGTTCAGTTCTTATATACAATTTCCAGTTTTCTGAATGAAAAAACAGCTCGACTTGATATCAATATTGGAGATGTCTTCGAATTGCAGAACAATATTCAGTTGTCTTCGATTTTTTTCTCTTAGGCTGTGGAAAAACGGCATTGATTACTTTTTTATGTCAGAAAATTCTCGACGATGAATTGGAGGTATTGCGTATTCATTCCGGTATGACAAGTTTACAAATCATCGATAAAATGGAACAATTCATTACCAAAGCCAATACATTTATTGCACCCAAACGGTTGTGGATATTTTTTGATGAATTTAATACAACAGCAAATATTGGTCTCATCAAAGAGATCACATGTGAGCGAACATTGTTGGGAAAACCATTGCCGAACAATCTTGTCCTGTTGGGTGCATGTAATCCGAGTCGTCTGAAAATGAGACGAGACGGTAATGAAAATGATGTGGATCAAAACGAAGTTGGTCTGCCGATTGATCATTATGAAATGCAACAATTATCTAATAGTGATCGACTTCTGTATACTGTTGTATCCATTCCGGAAACAATGATCGAACACATATGGGATTTTGGATTTTTAACACCACAGGCTGAACGAAAGTACATTGAAACAATCATCGGTCAATGTGAAAGTGACTTGATCAACGATAACAGTTGGTATCAGACAATAGTGACTTTGATATGTGGATCACAGAGTTACATGAGACGAACTGAAGATGTGTCTAGTGTCAGTCTGCGAGATGTTGTCCGTTATCGACAATTGTACAATTGGTTTCAGAAATCCATTCGAAGTCGAACAACAAAATCCACGTTATCCGAGACAGTACGAGCATCGTTATTGGCCTTGTTATTCTGTTACTATTTACGTCTGTATTCTCGAAAAAATAAACGACAATATCGTGAACTGTTGGAAGCCAGTTTACCCAATCATCTCAACGGGCTCAATATTGAAAAAATATTAGAAGACGAAGAAAATGATTTTATCAAGCGTATGATTTTACCAAAAGGTACAGCAGAAAATCGTGCTCTACGTGAAAATATATTTGCCGTATTGATCTGTATAATCAATGTTATACCGATCATTATATGTGGGAAACCCGGTTGTAGTAAAACATCGGCCGTACAAATTGTTCTGAATAATCTGAAAGGCAAAAAGTCCCATGACAAATACTTTCAAACACTGCCCGAACTACGACCAGTTTCCTATCAAGGTTCAACGACATGTACATCGGAAAATGTTGAAAAAGTATTTGAACGAGCAAAGAAAATCAATGAAATTAAGTCCGATACATACTTGCTGTCGGTAATTGTGTTTGATGAAATTGGTTTGGCCGAATTATCACCGTACAATCCGTTGAAAGTTTTGCATTCCGAATTGGAAATTGAAAATTGTAAATATGGATTTGTTGGAATTTCCAATTATCGTCTTGATGCATCCAAAATGAATCGTTTTCTGTTCTTGGCCTGTCCCGATCCCGATGTCGATGATTTAAGTCTGACAGGACAGATTATTCGTAACAGTCTGACTGATAATACGACATATTTGACCAATGGAATGATGTTAAATTTAGCCAATGCCTATTTAGATTTATTCATGAGTTTGAAACGGGAGAAGAAAAATGAAAATTATTTTGGCCTTCGTGATTATTATTCGCTGATTAAAGGTATTGTAAAGAAATTTGATAAAATAACTGATGATCAACTCATTCAATCGAAACAGTACGAAATCATACGAACAGAAATGAAAATCAATTTTGATGGGATCATCGATGGATCCATATACATGTGGAACAGCTTTTGTGAATATTTAAATCGGAATGAAATAATAAATGAATATCAACCTCCTAATATGAAACAATATATTGATCAAAGTTTGAAACACCGAAATGGCCGGTATTTGATGTTGATATCGGAGACAGAAAGTCTGTTCGATTATATTGAACGGTATTTAAATAAACATGAAAATAATGTTCGAACATTGATTGGTAGTCAGATGTGTGACGATCTGCACAAAGAATCGTACGGTTATCGTGTATTGATGAACATTATTTTGTATGCAGAAACGAATATCACTTTGATATTACGAAAAATGGATCATTTGTATGGAACTTTGTACGATTTATTTAATCAAAATTTTTCATTATATGGTGAACGAAAATATTGTCGAATAGCACTGGGTGCCACGTATCATCCACGCTGTTTGGTCAATGATCAATTCTATTGTGTCATATTGGTTAGTTCAAAAGATGTGGAAAAGGCAGCTGCACCGTTTCTCAATCGATTTGAAAAACATCTTATCCACTTTTATGATCTGGTCACACCAAAACAACTGAAAATTACCGATAGCCTTCTCAACTGGATCAGTAATCTGTTACAATTACGATCGATACCCAAACATTTTCTATTACCGCAACATATAATTGTCAATTTCAATTGTGACTATGTATGCAATCTTGTGCTGGATGCATGTGAAAAGTACAGTGACGACAATGTCGATATGGACGAGAAAGCTGTAACTGAATATTGTGTTGATCATTTTCTCCGTTCAAGTACACATGATTTTCCATTGGTACTCGCTTTGAACAATGACGACCATGGAGATCTCATTGATAAATATTATCACATAAAATCCCAACGAAATTTCCATCAATTGATACAAGAAACAATGGAACCAGTCAAACAAATTATATACACTTATACACAAATATACGAGAAAATCAATTATCCCACTCGTGATAATATTGTGGAAGAAATTAAATTGGCCAATTATACATCGGAATTGGAATTAACAAATAAAATGAAACAATTTATTCAAACAGCAAACATCAGATTTCTGTTTATTCGTGTGGATTATCACAATGAACAAAATCATATTCTCACACTGAAACATTGTATAATGAATGTTTTCAATGAATTTATTCAAGATAAACAACAACAGAAAGTATAGTTAGCTTTTTTTATTTTATTCTATAGCTGAGTCTGAATACTTAGATTGCAGCCTTTACCAACTCTGCTCCATTCCAGTTAGACAAGGCGTTGTTACCACCACAAGACTGGATATTTCTAACTTGTTTTTTTTCTAGATGGGTTTATCGTCGAAAAATATTTGGATTTTATTTCATTTAAAACGAAATTTATTGAATGATGAAAAAAATAATGTTTTATTCAACGGATGGTCAATTGATATGATCGATGATTTAAATCAGGACACAACACAGCTTATCACCGCCGATATTCTACAAAACCCATCGTATCAAGATGTCATTCGACAAACACAATATTCGGCACCAGGCATCATGTTTGGCGAATTACTGGATCGTTGTCTGTCTAAATTTCGTTACAATATCACAAATTCATCATTGCAAATGGATATCAATCTACGACGTAATCATCTATTACAATCATTGATCAATAGTGAGTTACGAACAATCATCGGGGAAAAAATTGAATATCTGATTAAAAATTGTCAACAACAATTGTTTGCATCTGATGATTGGCGAAAAGATCTCATCACAAATGGGACAATCGCCGCCTCTAGTCGGTCATTTCAACATGCATTTCAATCAACATTGACTTGTTTCTACGATACCTACTTTCTTACTTTATTTTCACATTTTGAGCGGACATCAATGATTGATAGTTATTTGTTTATACAACAACATGACAACAGTGGTGGGCTCTACAATCAAATTTGGTTAGAATGTTTAAATTCAATCGTACATATAATAACAAAATTAACTCGTTTTAACATGAACGAGTATATTGAAATACCATTTGTATTCAATTGTCAATTTCCCTATTCACCAATTGAATATAAAATTCTCACACAAATAGCCGATGATCTTCGTGATGAAAGAATTAATGTGACAATGGCATTGAAACAGTTAGAAAGGAGGAGTGTTTATTGTCAAGAGCATGTCAATTTTCATCATATCATGATAAATGAATATCTGTTTCAACAATATTACCATGATCAAATTCTTCTATTTCTCGATGACCATAAGATACAGTCATTGTCGATTGATTTTGTTCTTCGATTATTGCACAACAGTCGCACTTCAGAAGATAAAATGAAATATTTTCTTGTTTATCGTACGGAGTTACTTCAGTTGCTACAAATATTTGAAAATGGCGCGTGCCTTCTCAATAATGATAAATATGCCATGATGAGCCTCATTGATGAATCCAATTTTGTTATCGAAGAGAAAAACGTAGCAGAACAACGAAATCTATTTACACTGGTATTGGGTGACGATAACCAATATAATCAAATTTCACCACAATCATCGGAAAAAATCCTATTTGACCAGTCGGATGGCGATCCACTCATTGAAAATAGTCTCATGAACCTCATTCACACAATAACACATTTCAATATCATTCAAAATTGTAATGATATTACAAACCTGTCTACAATCTACAACCGTATTGTTCAAAGCATTAAAAGTCTCGATCGTTATTCAGTGAACAATTTGGACACCAAAACGGTAAACACTAAAAGGGTTTTTTCATAAAGATCAAAGATCAAAATGGTTCACTTTAAATTTCGAAACATTCAACAATACTCTCATCAGTTCATCAGCCCTCTCCTCTGCTCCTTCAAAGTCCTCCACGCCTAAATCTGACGATAGAAATATGATTGTTTTTATGTTCATCATGCTTTACCCGGTTTTTTCTTCAGGAACATGATGAAAGCTTGTTTTCTTCTTTGTGATGATGATGACCACATTATCTTAGGATGTTTTTTTTTTGTATTTAGTTTTTTCAATTCCCTCAAAAAACACATTCCCTCAGAAAACACTAATTCAATTTGAAGTCACTACAGAAAAAGCTTAGAGTGGCAAAATCTATCCAAATAATCGCTAAATTATATCCAATTTGGGCT